CCCACCACCGCCGTTGAAGAAGGAAACTGGATTCTGCTCCGAGGGTTGTTTGCCGGGAGATCTTTGCCCGGAGAGCTCCTCTCTGCCTGAGCTTTGTCCTTTTATGTCAGGCACACGCGCGCGCACGCACACACACGCACACACGCACACACACTCCAACCTAGGGGAAAGCGACCCGCCGTTCTCCAGCTTGATTCTCCCTCCTCCACGCCTGCCTTGCCTAGTGCTCGTGGCTATTTGTCTGGCTCTGCGTTACCAGGACGTGGGGGTTAAGCGCGCTCAGCGGAGTTCCCAAACAAGAGGAAACTTTTGGGAACGGAAGGCTCCGGCACTCGCCTGGAAAAGGAGGCGGGGAACTGATATTCGGGAGACATTCAGATGGCAACAAGGGCGAGCAACCTCAGGGTTCAACTACGATCTGCCCTAAAGAAGGCACACGATCGTAGCCGCTGACTAACCGGGCCTATTCCTTCAACGCACAAACATTGAGTTACGGCCCTGACCCGCGAAGGGTTAACAACACCCATTCTCAAGCACCGACTAACGTGCTGACCTTTTCCTCTGCGTCTCCCCCACGCTCCCTTTTCAGGCTCCGGTTCTTTCGCTCGGAGGGAGCCTGAACGGCTGTCTAGACCGATCTATCATAGGCGGCCGAAACAATACCGGGGGGGGGAGAGCCTCTCTTTCCCTCCCCCCTCTCGATTGTTCTACGGTATCTCACCTTCGAGAAAGCGAGGAGGATAAAGAAATGTCTGCCCTAGCAGCCCTAAAGAACGTTCAGAATGCTTAGAAAATGTCCACCTTCCTGCCGGACAAATGGGATCTTGCCTGCTTTTTTAAACACTCGCCAGAGACGCACCACTCCTTTCTGTTCCCGTTCTGTAAACCAACGGGGAGAAGGCTGGGCTCATTCAGATATAATAAAGCCAAGGAGGGGAGGGGAGGGGAGAAAGAATAGGCTAGAATCTAGGCCTCCCAGGCATCCCCAAGTTTAATCAAAGCCTCGAAGGGGCTTGGCCCACAGACCCAGTTTCTTAGGCTCCCCACCCTTACTTCGAAACAAGGTAATTTCTATGGTGTGAACTAGATGGCGAATACTGCCATGGGTGGGGAACCTACAGCGTCTTGCACTACTCTTTGTCAAGGATACTTTGGAGAAACGCACAACTACCAGTTCTGAGAACTCTCTGAGTTTAAACCCAGCTCGAGAGAGGGCGGAGGAGGAAAAAGATTAAACCCCTTCTTTACAGCCCTCTTAAAATCAAATAAGGGTTTTATTCTCTTATTCGCACGAAAACAAACCGGCCGCCATCCACGGAAAAGCGCATACAAGACGTGTAAAAAAAGGGGTTGAGAGGGAGACCTGAGAATAAACACAATTCTCCCGGTTCTCTTTATTTAGCCTGGAGCAATTCCACTGTTTTGCTGTAAGGGAAATGGTTTGAAAATCGTTGTCCCTATCTTGAGGGCATCGCATCCCGGGACAAGCCTGTTGGTGCGACTACAGTATTTTCAAAACAAAGTTGCCATAGAGAGCGAGCGAACAAATGACAAATAGTGGCTAGAAACGGGGCTTAGCAGCATGAAAATAGGCGCATGAGGGAAAAAGGGGGACCCATTTGCCAAGGGTGAATGCTAATGCCCTGGGACAGCTGGTTTTGACCTGTAGGCTCTGTCTCCAATGCCCCAGAGAGAGCCTGTAAGGGCGTTTGGCCTCCTCTCACGTAAGGGGGGGAGGGGTGAAATCCCGCTTCTTATCTTGGTCGGCAGATAGACTTCGAGGGGCCCCGTTCAGGGAGCCCTTTGCCCTGGGCCTCCTTCGCAAGGAGCCTCGAGCGGGCAAAAGTTCACAAAACCCTGGACAGATCTGGACCCTCGGCACAGGTCGTCCTTCCGTCAGCGCCCTTCTCAGAGAAACGAAAGACAGAAGCCACTGGCTTCCTCGGAACAGACGGAAACCCCAAAGGGAGGATCGTTAGAAGAATAATGCGGAAACGGGCTCCTGGGCGATCGCCATTGAAATAAAACGCTTTTTTTTTTTTTTTTTTTTGCCACAATCCTACTGCGGCGGTGGGGCATGCCTCTCGACCCAGCCCTTTTTCCGGAACCGACGACGTACCCCCGGCTCTCGTGAGCTTGAGATGCAGCCAGCACGCCAGCACGGGAGGTGAGCGAAGCGTCGCAAGCGAAAGATCGCCCCTGAAGCAGCTGGGCGAGACGCAAAGGAGCTACGTGCCTCAGACACGGTGCTCTGGCATCCCTGGAGTTGACGGGGGAGGGGGGGAGGGGGTTGCAAAGAGTCTTGGTGCCCCTTTCTCTGCCCCGGCGACTGCCAGACAACTTTTTAAGCTACCCGCAGCTATAAAGGAAGATGCGACGGACCCGCGAGATTCCCAACTGTTATATTGGACCCCACGTTCTCCACACACACATTCTTTGAACCGGAATACTATCACTGGAATATCCCCTGCCGGCCCCGCCAAACCGAGTCTCCAGTGGCCTGAAAAATCACCGATGGAAAAAAACAACACACCAGTCACTGCCCCCACAGGCTTTCTCGAAGAGTCCCTAGGAAAACAAGCACACCCACCACACTGAGATCCCGAAGTCCTTTTCCTCGACCGCACGTCGCTCTTCGATTCCCGGCACTCATCTTTTTTTAGTCCGCCGCTCAGCGATCCATAAGGACGAGCCAAGAGGCTTTCCAACAATACTTCCCGGGGCCCTGAGCTTCCTCGATCGAGCTCTGAGCTTTTTTTTCCCCTCCACCCACTCTCCCCTTTCCCCCTGGGAGCCGAAAAGTGGCGGCTGCCAGAGGTGGGGCTTTTACAGGCCTTTCCAAATCGGAAAGATAAAAGAGAACGAGACGCTGTAAGCTCTCCCTGCCCCCTCCCCTTTCCTGTTGGAGCAGACAGACCGCGAGCGGCAGCTTCTCTTTTCTCGTCTCTCAATCGTTCGCCTCCCCCCCCCCCTGCGCACTGCTTCACAGCCCAACTGCTTCCAAACTTCTAGCCAGCCCGCACGACCCAGCCGTCCCCGGAGCACCCCACCCGCAATTCCCAGCCAGGGGACATCTAGGCGGTGACCGCTGGCCTTGCTAACCTTTCTGTCTTCTCTATTCCGCCTTCCTCCTGGGATCCCGGGTCCTTTCAAGTTGAAATAAATTCTGGCAACAAGCCCAGCCTTAGAAAGGCAAGGCTCCAAGCAAGGCGCGCGCTGTCTTTTTTTTTTTTTCCCCCACTTCTCCTGCGCACCTTCGTACGCATCCCAGCCACACCTGGTGTGGAAGGAAAAGGACGCCTAGCTTCGGTCCGAGAAGTCGGAGCGAGGAGACCGATTCTTCGGACGAGTCGGGCTTGGGGTCCCTCGGCTGGCTGGCCCGCCGCGGCGCTTCCGCGAAACGCGAGGAGCATTCGACGGGAAGATCACTGACCTTAGTCTCCGCTCCAGAGACGCTGCCGGGGACACGGAGTCCAGCGCTGCCGTCGCCTGACCCTTTCCGAGGGAGCCGCGTCCGTTTTCTAGGTGAGCGAGAAAAGTTTGCCGACCTCGGAGGCGAGAGGCCGCAGTTGCCCCAGAGACTGACAAACTGGCCCCGGCTCAACTAGCCAGAGGCAGGTGGGGGCCGGGTGGGCGGAGAGAGAGAGGCCGTAATGTCGGCGTTTCCCTCGGCTGAGTTCAACAGCCCGCCGGGCTCCCTCCGGTCGCTCTCCGGCTCCGCTTTAGTAACGCCATGTTGCTGCTGTGGCTTCTCGGGACTGATCTTGGCGGCGCCTACAGGCTCCTTTCCCTCCTCCCTTCGCAGAGCCCGTGTCCTGGCGGCGGCTGTGAGTGTGCGTGTGCGTGTGCGTGTGCGTGTGTGTGGCTGGGCTGGCTCTGGGGATTTAATCCACCGGGAAAGCCGTTCTTCCTCACCTTGCCGCTGGGAGAGCGGGCTACGTCTGCTGCACTCTTCCCCCCCCCCCTCGCACCACCGCCGCCGCCTCCTCCTCCTCTCCCCGCCCCCTTCTCTCTCTCTCCTCCCCCCCCCCGGCTTAGCACTCGGGGAGCCGCCGCCAGCAGAAGCAGAGGCAGCAGCAAAGCCTCCGCCGTGCTTCTCGCAGCAAATCTCTCTCCCCTCACTCCCGAGTGCCTCGCTTTTTTCTTGTTCCAAGGCTCTTGGCTTTCTCTTCTTAATTGATTCCTCCTCCACTTCTCTCCGCCCCCCCCCCTCCGCTCCGTTTCCTGGCTTTTCGTTCTTTCTCTCTTGGCTGACTGAGCTGGTCTCAGCGAGCCCCCCTTTCCACACGCCCTGCCTGCTTCTTCGCCTGAGGGCGTCCTGAGGAGACTCCGCTCTCCTTTTGACCAAGAGAGGTTGAAAAGGAAAGTCCCCCGCCCCCTTCCAGACTCTCGGCTCGGCTCGCTACCCAGAAGGCCAGTGGAGAGCCGCAATTACCATAAAGCTCCTCTCCCTCAGCTTAGCCAAGCTGTCAAAGCCCCAGCGGCAGGCGCAGCCAGACACCAGCGCCAGACCGCCGCGCTCGCCGCCCGGGTTGCCTCGCCTTTTCGGCCCGGCACAACGCCTCTGCCCCTCGGCGCGGCCGCTTCTTGCCTCAGGATGCGTCCCCCGCCTTCTCGCGGCACCTTTCTGGCCCTCTCGCAGCCGCCCCTCGGCTTTCACGAAGGCGAGGAAAAAGTGCCCCTGCCGCAGAAGTCATCCTCGTTCTCCGTGCTAAGGGAGCAGATGCCTCCTAGCCTCCCGCCGTTTCTTCCCCCCCCCCCACTCCAGGTGAGACCATTCTCTGGCCGCCACGTTTTTCCTTCTGCTCTCGTATCCCCGGGAGCCCAAGAAGGACCGTTTCTTTGTCTCCCCCTCCCCTCCCACGCGCTCTATTGTCACGCACAGTGTACCCCTTTCCCATATGCCCCCCCCTTGCACTTTCCATCTTCTCTGGCCAGCGCGCTCCCCTCCCCCCATGGAAATGCCTCTCAGGGCCTCCTTTTTTTTTTCTCTCTCTCTCTAGGGAACGGCGTGTGCTCTGCCTTCCTTCCAACCTGTACTTTTAAGTCTGCCTCCAAACGAACCGCTTTCCATCCTCTCGCTTCTCCAGAAGCATACAAACCGTCGTTTCTCCTCGAGTGTCTCCCTCCTCCCGTGTTTTGTCAATCAGCTCTGCACCCACAGCTCCTCATTTGGCTCGTCTTCCCTATTCGCTATTTTTGTCCCATCGTGGGATGCTCTCTGTCTTTCCGCCCCCGCCCCGTTGCCCCGAGCCTTTCTGTTGTAATGAGAAACATTCGTTTTTCAGCAGCTACTTTCCGGAATAACAAACGGCTTCCCCTTCGTTTGATTTCTGAAAGGCGACGCTCGGTTACTGGCTCTGAAATTTCCAAACACGTTTCTTTCTATGTGACGTGGAAATCGCGGGGAGCGCTTCGCACGCCGGCTTCCCTCAGTACAATTTGGATCGCTGGGACGCTGCTCCTTTGGCGGATCGGCTGCGAGAGTGGTATTTTTGACTTAGTAGGTCGGGTTTGTGACGCCCATCTTGACTGATACTCGCTTATTCGGTTCTTCCGCTCGCGACTCGTGGTTCTTTACTGCATTTCAGCGGTGGCTGGAATTCACAAGACGCAATCTACAGGAAATAACTCTGTACCTCAAGAAGTGGGGAGGGGTGCGCGCGCATTCCATGACCATTTATCACAGGAGTGGGGTAGCACCGTTCCTCATTACAGAGATTTATCTATCGTGTCAACCAACCAGTGCTTGGCCGATACGTTAGCAGTGAACCCAGGCTTCCCTTCATTACAGGCTTTATATCGCGACAACTATGGCTGGGTGATGAGATACATCTCTAGTGAGGAAAGGCACAGTAGGCATTGCTAAGTATGCCAACAATCTATATGCATATGCTTTGGAGCAAGCCCCACTGAGCATTATGGGTCTGGCTTTGTAAGAAACCTGAGCGGTATTGTGCGGCCGTCTCCGATTCTTACTTCCGATCCTTGTTCGGAAAAAAACTTCCAGCTAACTGCGTACGAGAACTGTGGATCTAAACACGCTTTTCAGGAAGTCACGTAATATTCCGTTGGGACCTGCTTCTAACTGGACAGGTCTTGCTCATGACCATGAAAAGTAGCAAGTTCGGAAAGGGACCATAAACCAGCCCGGTGAAAATGAATGAAATTTTATTATCACCCACTCGAGTGGTAATTATATCCCCACCCCCTTTCACCCCAGTCTTTAAAAGCGCGTATAAACCGTTTACACCAAGACAAGAAAAGTAGAAGAAAGAAGATCCAATATACAGAATTCCAGGAAAACTATGATCAGCCTGTTTGTCATCAAGAAGTCCAGGAATCTGTGGGGAAAAAAGAAAGCAGGTTAAAATCTGAATCCTAGCTACATTTCCCTAGTCTAAAACGTGGCTTACTCAATATGCCAGAACACTTCTGAAGTTCCCTTTTCTAACCATGCAAATTTCTTGTGCTTAAAGGAAAATAGGAGCTCCTTTGAACAACTTTCTGGTTTGAAAGCATTTTATACAGTTCCTGGTTTTGGCTTGGACCTTTATACCCTAGAAAAGAAGAAAGGGGTGGACCTGCCTCTTTCTCTCTCTCTCTCTCTCTCTCTCTCTCTCAAAGTAGGAGTGAAAAATACCTACGTTTGTAACCTGAAACCCTGGGTGTACACACAAGCTCTTCAGCTTGCTAAACAGCTGACAGAAACAACAAAAAGACACCGATTTCCTAAGCAGTCGGATAAATGCTCTTAAGGGGGAAGGGAACAAGTTTTAAATGAAGCGTCTCCCCTGCACTGGAAGTGCTTGGGAAAGATTTTCCTCAGAAGTGACTGAAATCCATTTGGGGAGGATTCAGTCTTGTTTTCTGTTCATGACTTTATATGTCTGAAAACGTCGCACTCATTTCTCTCCCCCCCCCTCCAATAAGGAACACAAGGACTCACCCTTTTAAACTGTAATTGTGTTTATAAAATATACATTTTAGAACTAATGTAGAGATTAAAATTTATCGGCTGCACCCACATGAGATATAGAAGCAGCTGAAAATTGAGGGTTGAACTAAGTAGAACTGAGAGGTTTTACTTCATCTTCCTTTTCGGAGTTCCCAGACTTAGCCGGTAAAGTTAATTATTTCCTGATTTAAACCCTTCCAGTGCTGTTCTTTTCAAACTTTCTGAAGCCTATTTTATCACTCGTTATCTAGTGAGAGGCTGTAGCCTTAAACGAACTGGAGTTGTCAGAGGACTATGATCCGATCCTCTTAAAGATATAAACTCCCTGGCAATCCTGGGGAGGCGTGCCAGGCTCCTGGCTGAACCCAGACTGCCTGATTCCAATCGCGCCCTTGCTTAACCGGGCTCTCCGTGGGGCTCCCTATCGAGGTTGCACTCTTCCATCGCTCCCTCGTGGCACAGAGGCCCCCGTAGCCACGTTCCTACTGGAAACCTTGACTAGTTGGGTTTTTCTGCCCTTCCTGTTCTGCGCTGGGCTTTCCCCCTCCCCTCGTTCTTTCTTCAGGATTTCCTGAGACGGCAAATCCTCGGCCTCCCCAGCGGCCCAGCCGCGGCCTTGGTGGGCGTTTCGCTGCCTCTCTCCTTCCCCGCGGCGTTTGGCTGAGCGGAATCCCCGCCGAGGGACATGCCGACGAAGGAACTGAAGTCGCGGTCGCCAGACCCCTCTGGCCCGTCCTCGGGGAGCTGACCTAGAGGTCAGGCCGTGGTGCTGCACCCGGGGACAGGAAAACTGGAGAGCGAGCTGGAGACAGCGGCGCTCCAGATGGCCTTTATCGAAAGCGAGCGAGAACTTCACTCCCAGTCCTGGGTAGGTAGGTGCCCGGCCTGTCTCACGAATTCCTCCTGGAGCCGCTGCTGCTGCTGTTAATGGCTGGCCGAAAGGGGAATGGGCTCTCGGTGCTGCCGCCTGCTTCCGCCTGGCTTCCCCTCCTGGCTGCTCCGGCCAGGCGACGGATTCACTGCGCTCCTATTTCCCAACTCCACGTGGTTGTTCGCTCCCCTTTTTCCAGGCAACAATGCCTTCTGCCTAGGAAAGCAGGAGGCCGGTCTTTACCAAGGCACATTATCAATCAAGAAGGCCTTGCCGTGCTGGAGGCCCGGGGCCTGATCAACCTCCGCCCGGTCATTCGGTCCTTTTCGCCTTCCTAAGGGTGTCGCTGGGATTAAATTCATTAGCGCTTTGCTCAGCTACCAACGCAAAGTGGGGGGGGGGGAAAAAACTACAAACAACTCTACGCAATTCTGAGCTCTGAATGGCCCTCCTTGAGAGTGCGCCTTAAATCAAGCTGCGAATGCGAATGGAGAAATCTGAATAGCAAAACAAGGCCACCTTGGCTTGGCCTTATACAGCAGATATGATCAGTCTTGCACGCCTGATTTCACCATCAGGAAAATAAAAGACGTTGAAATTGCTGTTTATTTAACACACACACACACAAACACACACACACACACACACACACCAGGCTGCAATAGATAGAATTTCTTATGTAGTAATCTAGAATTCCATTTATTTCCCCAACCACTGTCTCCTGATTTCTTATGATAGGCCTTTGCTGCACAAAAGTAACCACATTTTGTGTAGCAACATTTTGTATTACAACTATAACCCAAGGACATCTACCCAATGCAGAGGCATGTTTTAACAGGTACTGTGTTTTATTTTAGAAAGTCAAATGCTTGGACTGTAATCCTAAATAAACTGACTTGGAAGCCGCTTCCTGAATAATAAATGAATATTACTTCTGAGTAGACCCAATCAAGAATACTGCAGAAGGGATTAAAAATTCTCACTGGTTGCAATTCTACTGGATGCATCAATTGGCACCTACACTGGTATATACACAAAGCACTGATAGTCCCTAGACAGGAAAAAACATGTTTCAGGCATGTAACACACACATACACACAAACAGACTCTGCCAACAAGTGAGTGAGAACTCACAACAAGGCCTTTTTATTTCTGAAACCTTAACACTGGAAAAACAAAAATAACTGAGCCGGCCTGTCAAAAACAAAAGTTCTGGTTTGATGAATATGTGATCATATCTATATCATTTATAGAATTTGCCAGTGCAATTCTGCTCAACCCTCTTATTATTTTTTTTGATGGGGGGGGTAGGCTTAGAGCAATGGTGGTGAACCTATGGCATGTGTGCTAGAGACGGCACTCGGAGCCCTCTCGGCAACTGTCCCTCTTCAACCAGCTGCCCACTAACTCACCAAGGTCCCACATGGCCGGATGCATCCTAGAACAGCTGGTTTCCCTTGTTCCATCCCTCCTGGCCTCGCATGCTCTCCTTTTCCCAGGCACAACCCATTGCATCGCCTCCTCAGCTGTTGGCAGGCCATCCAGCTCAGTGGCGGCTTCTCTGAACTGCTGGTGGTAGGCTGCAGAGCCCCAGAGTGCTGGTCGAGGGGCTGGCAGGCTGTGCTGCTGATGGACACTGTTGGTCCCCATGCGCTGGCTGGCCTGGGGGGGGGGGCTGATGGTATCAGGCAGCAGCCACCCTGGCCCTTGCCTCGCCTTGCTCTGCGACAATGGCATTCCAGCCCTGCCCTCACCTTGCCTCATTTCACCCTGCAGGACAAGCCTCCTGCCCACTGCCCCACCTGCCAGAGCCCTCCTGGATCTCCCCCAACCCTGCCCAGCCCCCACAGGCATCCCTCCCCACAAGCAACATCAAGGTGACCATGCCTACCTTGGCCACACCCACCCAGTCTGCCATGACCACCACAGCCATGCCCACCAAGTGGGCCACGCCCACCTGGCACTTGGCAATACATAAGTGGGTTTTGGGTTGCAGTTTGGGCACTCGGTCTCTAAAAGGTTCGCCACCACTGGCTTAGAAAAAGCTTTTTTTTTCTTTCCTCTTTTTTTCCTTCCAGTGAAGGACATGGAAATCACTAAGTATTATCTACGTAAAAGAGCCAATGTGGGTAATGGTTAAGGCACCAGATTAGAAACTGAGAGACTGAATTCTAGTCCCATCTTAAGAGACAAAGTCAGCTAAGTGACCTTGGGCCAGTCACTCTCTCAACCCTAGGAAGAAGACAATGGCAAATCACTCCCAAAATCTTTCCAAGAAAACTGTGGGAATATGTTACTTATTTACACCACATAAAGGTGCCTCCCATTCTTCTGCTCCACGGTTTATTATTTGGAAAGTAGTAATTATCTCCATCCCAGAAAGAAACAACATCTAGATCAGTGGAAAAGATGTTAGTGAACAATACTCCATCTAGATGGGAGTACTATATCTTCCCTCACATTATTCTTCCTATCTCTTGAATAAACAGCATATGGGGTATTGCACTCTCCTGACAATGCCACTTCAGGCCATATTTGACAGAATGCCTCTTCCCAAACAAAATAAACAATTAAATGCTGAAGAGATTGCAAAAAAACAGCCCTCATTACGTAGAGTTAAAGTTGGGATATACGTAGTATTAAGTGATATTATTCTGACATAGGTATATTAATTGTAAACCTATTAAATAAAATAGAAGAAAGGAAGATCGTCTGCCACTGGTGATGTATGACTGTTGTTTTTTAAGTTAATTTAACAAATTCTATCAATACAATTATATCCCAGCTTATACATAATAAATGAATAACTGGAAATCTAAAAAAAAATTTGAGGAAGTTTTGTGGTTCAAAAATGTGAAAAATAAACATAGTGTACATTTGAAAAATCAATACTACTTATTTTAAAGCACACAGGTAAGGAAACTTTGAGCCACCAAGTTCTCGATATGTGTGGCTGGGAGATATAATCAGTTACATCTGAAATGGTGGGAAAGGCCCAGGGTCCTTATTCTCCTTCAGAGAAAATATACTTTGAATGCGAATCTGGTTGCATATTCAAGACAAGGTTTGGGGCAGAAGTCAGGAATTTATCCAGTGACTGAATAGGAGGTGAACACTGAGTGAAGTTAAGGAAATGATCCGAATGTAATGCATCCTAAGGTAATGAAAAGTGTTTACTACTGTTTTGGACCATTTAAAATTATCTGCCTAAACTATATGTGGCATACAAATGTTTTTGGAGGGCCACGTTTGAGAACCAATAATGAAATTACTTTGTTTAACTGAAAAGACCATCATTCCGAAGAAAATATTTATTTATTATGTTCAGCACCTACATCAAACCCTGCCAGAACTGTTGCAATTGAACCCTGGCCACTAACGGCTGTTTATAGCCCAGCCATTTTGACTGCTGGCATGTTAGGCCAGGAAATCCTGGGAGAGTTTCTGAGGGACTTGCAAAGAGCTGCCCTTTGCAAACAGAGCAGGAGGTTGAGCTGCCTGTCATTCCTGGGGTA